CCGCCGATGCAGATGAAGCCGGGACGGAAGACGTCAGCGGGTTGGAGGTATCCATGGGGACTACGTTGGCGCTGCCGCCACCATTCGTGGTGGAGCTGGAGTCACCTGTTGCTCCACCGCCATGAGCGACATCCTCCTCGGAGATGATACTTCGTGGCGACTTAGCCATCTCACCATAAATGGCCGACGTGAACTCCGAATCGGCGTCAGCGCCAGAGTGCTGGCTTGCATCCTCGTCCGCCTATTTGACAAGGCACAAAGCAATTGCGTAAGAAATGTGAAACCAATTCTAAGACTTGACATCGAAAAGTAGGTTAGACTTGGCGACTCACAGGCTGATTGAACGAAAAACAAAAAAAAAGTTTTTGGCCGTTTCGTATACGTCCACCACCATTTTTTTACAAAAAAACTATAATTTAAGGAATAACCTACTAACCACGAAGGAGGGAAATTTGTAACGCCACCGTGAGCACATTTGATGGATTATTGAGCGCCTGATTTAATGAATCGGGCTTAAACATCGCATCAGCTTAGCGATGTTACAACAAAACACGTCATCACGTGTTTTATTCGCTCTATCGCGTCTTTAATCCGCTACGCATGTGATACCTGCTACAACACCAATGCACGGATGACACGTGCTCTACACACTTAAAACAACAAACAGCCAATCACCGAGACTAATCAATATGGGGTCGGTTTCGGACGACATGTTTTTTTTTATAAATCTAGCAAGCTACCATTGCCCATATGTGACCAATTTCAAGACATTATCGACCTTACTAATTCGCATAATTTTACAACAGACAACCTCGGCAGACAATGAAGGCAACCCTCAAATTGAATCACCGTGGAAATAACTAACGTAGGCTCGGGAGTCACATGGTCGATTATTGCTGTTATCGACGTTGCTTATGAGACATTGGTTCGTGATAAATTAAGCTGTCTTTGCGGTACCTACTGCATTTACTAATCCTCAGATAAAAGAATCGATCTCAGTCGAAAATTTCGACAATTTGGGAGGGAACGCGTGTGTTCGCAATGTCACCAAAATTCAAAACAGCGAAATAAACCATACTGTTGTAAATTGAAGTTGGACTGTGGTTGGAGGAAATAGCATTAGAAATAATTTTCATAACGACTGGAAACAGGTATGCCAAACAGCATTAACACACGTGAAAACAGATATTTGGAAAAAGCATTTTGCTTTATGACGTACATGGAAATAATGACCACTAGAAAATATTGGTAAGGACACAAGTACTGGATGGTTAAAGCTGTCGTGAATCGCGGTGATTCACACTCGGTCGCTCCATTCGCCGACCCAATGTCCTTCAAGTCACAGCATCCTCTCAACCAAGGGAAACCTCTACTCATACCTCAGTAGTGCGATTGCTTATCCTGGTTTATCGCCACATGTTATAACATTTGTGACCCCATAGTGTTTCACATATCTGAGGTATAACTGTACACGTGCAGAAGCCACACAACGACACTAACTTGGTTGAGCTCAAAACACGCATTTCCACAAATCCACAAAGAACAGGTGCAAGTATAAGTAGCTCAAAGGAGAATATTGGCGTATGCCGAAGCGAGACAATTGCACAAGCAGTATAAAAGTCAGGACGAGCTTACAGGGGTATACACCGATGGCGGAGCAGTGTCTACAGCCGAGTGGGCGTCTGGCGTGGGAGTTGATGAGGTCTGGGAGTTCTTCTGTCGAGGAACAACTGGTGGTCGTTTTGGCTGGCCTTTCAACATCGCTCGGCGTATTGTGTTTAGGCCCGCCCGGTTAAGAACCACACCATCCATAAAGAAGTGCCTACAAACGATTTTAAGTCGACAATTAGTCAGCCTTAAGGCCTTCTCCGGAGGTCACTGACCTAAACCAAGGCGACCTCAATGAACCCGAAAAAGCTGCAAGTCTCAACAGCAGGCTTTTCAAATTGAAAGCCATGTCTTTGTTTCATGTCCAAGTAAAGAGCAGAGTAGGGTCAAGGCAATTGTACCTCGGCTCGGGAGAGTCGTGTTCGTCATCAGACCGAGCGGATGATGAACCAGCAGAGCCAAAACCGAGCAGCGATGGGCAGGAAGGCTACAACGAGCACAGGAGTTAGTCGGCATGGAGCCTTTGAACGCTCAAAGTAACAAAAGGTGCATTTACTTACCAACTTGTCAGCAAAGAGATTATCGACACCTTCGCCCGACCTCCAAGTAGCCGGAAACGGAACTGAACTGCCGTTCTGAGCACGAAAGGCCAAGAGCTAAACAGTGCAAACAAAGGGTCGATGCATTAAAGGCAACAACCAGTAACATCGAATAATGGCAAACACTTTTGACTACCTTCAAAGGCCTTTTAGAACAGAAACGTCAAATACGTGATCAAGAAAACAATGAATTACAACGCACCTGCTGATGGCCGTGGCCATAGGGAGCACCATGTTCCCTACAGAGGGCACAATTATAGCCCAAATCCACGACAAAATCCAATTCCTCTTCAGTGCGGAGTTGATCGCATCCGGCGTGGGACCACCGAGCACAGGTAGCACACTTGACCAATAACTCCCCGTCGCGGTAGCAGAGGGTGCAAACAGGGCAGACTGAAAGGGAGGCGCAGGGTGCGCACTGGGTGTAATTGGCGTACCACTGGCCATTGACGCCCGGCGACCGATTGCCACATTGCAGGCAGGAGACACAATTGGTGCACTTCCAGCCGCCCTGGAAAGCAGTTGATGGGACAATTTGAGTGGGAGAATCGACAGCACATATGGACAGGCGCGTATCGCGGCATTATACACTTAGTGATTGACAAAAACAAACAGAAACTGTTACACGGAATCCCCCCAACGGCCAAGTGAACGTCATCTTTTTGTGACCAGGAGAGTTTGAGTGCGGTCACTTAAGAACCAACCACCGCAAATGACATCGGCTACGTCGCGAATCAGCGCAGCGGCCATGCATGGCTCTCAACATATTTTAAACCCCAGGACGCAAATTGCCCGAACTACTGTTATGAGCACCGGAACATTAAGTGACATTGCGTGGTGAACGGATAGCAAGCAATGACAAATAGAAGGGTCGTTTAGTCAGACGATGTCTAAACGAGAGATACCGAAGTTGTGTAAACCGCACAGTAAACATAACCAATGAAATATGGCAAGCTTGAAGCGTTGGTCAACTGTCCCTAAGCTGTCTTTACAAAATGACGCTATAGCAAGATCGTTTCAAGGGAGGTAATCCCATTGACTAATTAGTCCGGCGAATCATAGTCAATTGCCTTGTGCGCTGCATTTAACATGAAATTGAGCAGAATAATAATGATACGTAACCTAAAGTTGAAGGCGACAATGACACAACAGACAATTGTTACCATGGCTCGGCTTTACTGGTAAAACCAACACGGAGCTAGCTTTGAAAGCACAAAAGTGGAGAGAACATCGACCAGACAAAGAAAATCAACAGATTGCAAACGAGGGTCGAATGATGTACTAGCAATGAGAATGTTCTGCGTACGCAGCAAAACAACCCGGCAGGTAGCATTTCGGTACAACCAACATTAGATCTAACCTCATTATCAAGTGAACTACTCGTAGAAACGTTAACAGAAAGGGCCGGTGAACACAAAAAGGAACCTTGATTAAAACTAGGCTCAACGAAACACACACACAAGCACACCAAAAAGGAACATCAAGAGGGCGCGAAAAACAGCAAGCAGTGGAGGTGCGGGCGCTCACAGAGAATAAACACAGACTAACGCAGTCCAGTGAACCTAGGCGACACCCAGAACTCTACCTCCAATCTCCTACCACGTCGTCTACCGCCATGGTGAATTAGCGGGACGGACTGCGCATGAAGCGCAACCATTCGCGCACGGGCCACGGACGACCTGTCACAATCAGTATCTGCATTGCGCGTAACTGCGCCTACCTTGGGCACTTCCGTGAGGGGCGGTTTCAGGCAGAAGGTGTGGTAGCTTATGTCACAGTCGTCACACAACAGGAGGAGATTTTCGTCGGTGCCCTGGCCACAGCTCTCGCAGATAATGCAATCGAGGCACCGCCAGCCCTTTTCACGCATCGTCCGCGAGATGCGATTAACTTGGGCACAGAAGGCGTGGAAACACTGTCCGCACTGGGCACACGCGATGAGGGACTCGGGGTCACCGAAGGAGCCGCACGCAAGGCACATATCCTGCTCCAAAACAAACCGATCATCACTTCGGCAGATGACCACGGTGCTTGGATGGTCGTCCTTCTCTTGGCTCGTCTTCGATTCGCACTGAAAGGAGATTGTGGGATTAAAAACCGAGAACTAGGCAA